CTGGGTGGCTCAGTTGGTTAAGCATCTGCCTTTGGCTCAGGTCATGGTCTCGGGGTCCTTGGATCTAGCCCTGCATTGGGATTCCTGCTCAGCAGAGAGTCTGCTTCTCCCTCTGCCTCTCCCCCCATCCCCCCTGCTTGTGTACGCATGCTCTCTCTCTCTCAAATAAATAAATAAAATCTTTAAAAAAGAAAAGTCACATTAACCAAAATGTATGTGTAGACTGGGTTTCATATCTCTCCCTTCCTTTAATTAATGTTGTAAACAACATAGATTTCCTAATATTAAGCTTTCATTGCATTCTTAAACTCTACCTAATAATACACTTCCAGATCGGTTTTGCTTGTATTTTATTTATGACATGTATATCATACTCAAAATTGGTCTGTAGTTTTCAAATTTGGTATCAATATTGTGTTAATGTTATAGAATTAGGAAGTCTTTATGTTCTGGAACAGAACAGAGGAATTATAGATTTCTTGAAGATCTGACAGAACTTTACTGTAGATCTCTCTAGTCCAAATATCTGGCGGGGGAAGTTGCAATTTGACTATCTTTTCAGTTTTTCCAGTTTATGATCTGTTCAGGTTTACTACTTCTTGAGTCAACTTTGGTAATTGGTATTTTTCTAGCAAAAATATTTCATTTTTATCTGGATTTCAAATTTGATGGCCTATGATTATACTTGTATTTTAAAAATCTCATCAGATTATATCTCATTTTGCATTTCTAAGATTGTATATGTGTTTTAATTTTTTTTCTTGGTTATAGTTGATAGCAGCTTGTCTATTTTATCGCTCTTTTAAAAATAATCATTTTATAGTTTTATCAATCCTACTGGCCAACTTTTTAATTCAAATATTTCTACTTTTTAATAATTAGTTCCTTCCTCTTTTCTTTTGCGTTATTGTGTAGCTCTTTTTCTTAGCTTCTTGAATTGAATATTTATGGCTCATTTAATTTCAATCACATTATTAATATAAAAATAGTAAGAGCTAAGAATGCTCAGCTAACCTCTTCAGCTATGTGCTATTGGTCTTTAAGAGAATGATGACCTTGTTGGGCACAAAGTTCCTGTGTTAGTCAAATCCACTATATCCTTGCTACTCAGACTAGCTGGGATCCTTTCCATCACCTGGGAATTTGTTTAGAAACACAGAATCTGGGGCCTCACCGCAGATATATGGAATCAGAATCTGCATTTTTACAAAATCCCAAGTGATAACCACATTAAAGTTGGAAAAGTGCTGTTCTACATTCTTTTCCATCAGATCATTTGTTAGAGTGAGAGGCATGACATATTAGTATTTCCACTCTGATTGTAGTTTCTTACATTCTCTTTATATTTTTAGTAATCTTTGCTAAGTTTGAAGCCATATCATCAGCCCCATCCCCACTCTTTTAAAAAAACAACTTTTTAAAAAAGATTTATTTATTGCGGTTCCTGGGTAGTTCAGTCGCTTAAGCCTCTGCCTTTAGATCACATCATGATCCCAAGGTCCTGGGATTGAGCCCTGCACTGGGTTCCCTGCTCAGCGGGGAGTCTGCTTCTCCCTCTCCCTCTGCTGTTCCTCCTGCTTGTGCTCTCTGGCTCTCTCTCTCTCTGTCAAACAAACAAACAAATAAATAAACAAAATCTTTAAAAAATAAATAAGTAAAAGATTTATTCATTTATTTTAGAGAGCAGGGGAAGGGGCAGAGGGAGAGGGAGAGAGAGAATCCTCATGCAGACTCTGCACTGAATGCAGAGCCCGACTCAGGGCTCCATCCCAGGACCCAGAAATCATGACCTGAGCAGAAAGCAAGAGTTGGCTGCCCAACTGACTGAGCCACCCAGGCACTCCCCAAAAAACTTTTATTTTGAGATAATTTACATGCAGTTGTTTTTTTTTTATTAGTTTAAGACATAGAATTTAGTGATTCATCAGTTGCATATAACACCCAGTGCTCATTACATCAAGTGCCCTCCTTAATGCCCATCACCTAATGATCCCTTCCCCCCACCCCCCACCCCTCCAGCAATCCTGTTTCCTAGAGTTTATTTTCTCTTATGGTTTGCCTCCCTCTCAATTTTCATCTTATTTTATTTTTCGCTTTCCCTATGTTCATTTGTTTTGTTTCTTAAATTCCACATATGAGTGGAATCATTCACATGCAGTTTTTAAAAATAATACAAAGAAATTCCATGTACCCATTTATCTACTTTCCCCCAATGTACAAATTTTAGTACAAATATCTCTACATGGATATGATAAAACTATAATAGAATACTACAACCGGGATAATGCCACTGATATAGTCAAGATCTAGAACAGATCTATCACTGAGTGATCCTTCATATTGGCCATCTCCTCAACTTGGCAATTGTTAATCTGTTTTCCATTTCCATATTTTGTCATTTCCAGAATGTTATATAAATGGAATTATAGAGTATGTAACCTTTTGGGATTGGCTTTTTTCATTCAGTGTAAATCTCTGGAGATTCATCCAAGTTGCTGTGTATATTAATAGTTTATTCCTTCTTATTGCTGAGTAGTATTCATAGCATGGATATACCATACTTTAATCATTCATCCATTGAAGGACTCCTGAGTGGTTTCCAATTTTTGGCTGTTTTGTTTTTGTTTTTGTTTTTCAGCTTTTGGCTATTATGAATAGAGTGCTATGAACATTCATGTACAGGTTTTTTGTGAACATAAATTTTCATTTCTCTGGGACAAATGCTCATGATTACAATTCCTAGGTCATTTGGTAGTTGTATGCTTTTTGTTTTGTTTTGTTTTTTTAAGACATTGCCGAAGTGTTTTTCAGAGTGGTTGTACTGTTATACATTATCACTAGCAATGTATAATCCAGTTTCTCTGCATCCTCACCAGCATTTGGTGTTGTAATTAATTTTTATCTTACCATTACATTTGTAGATCAATTTATGGAGAATTGACATCGTTATTATGTTGAGTTTTCCCATCCATGAACACAGTATGTCTCTCCATTTATTTAGATCTTCTTTATTTCATCAGCATTTTGTAGTTTTCAGTATATAAGTCTTTTTGTGTGTGTGTGTGTGGTAAAGGTTCATTTATTTATTTGAGAAAGAGAGCACGAGCATGAGCTGGAGGGGTAAGGGGAAGGGAGAGAGAATCTCAAGCAGACTCTGTCTTGAGCACAGAGCTGGATGCCGGGCTCAATCTCACAACCCCCAGGTCATGACCTGAGCCAAAACCAAGAGTTGGCCACTTTTAACCAACTATGCCAACCCAGGTGCCCCAGTATGCAAGTCATATATGTTTTGTTAGATTTACATCCAAGTATTCCTTTTGTATGTGTGTGAATGGAATTGCATTTTTAATTTTAGTGCCCAAGAGTTCATTGCCTATATATATATATATATATATATATATATATATATATATATATATAGAATTGGTTTTTGTATTATTTCCTGTGACTTTGCTGAACTCATTTATTAGTTCTGGGACATTCTGTTTGTAGATTCCTTGGGATTTTCTACATAAACAATCATGTCACGTATAAATAGGGACAGATTCATTTTGTCTTTCCAATTTGTATACTTTTTTCCCCCTTTCTTGCATTATTGCATGGTCTACAACTTCCAGGACTATGTTAAATAAGAAGGGTGAGAACAGATATCCTTGCTTTTACTCTGATCTTTTTAACACTGTAACAATCCTATGTCTTAATACTTTTTAACTTGAATTGACTTGAGTAATACTTAACATTGCTCTGTTTTTATTTGCATATTAACTTCTACTTCTTTCTCTATACAACTGAAGAGGATATCTTAAAAGAAATGAGATCTTTTCTATTTTTTTTTAAGTTTTATTTATTTATTTGACAGAGAGATAGTGAGAGCAGGAACACAAGTGGGGGAGTGGGAGAGGGAGAAGCAGGCTTCCCACTGAGCAGGGAGCCCAATGTGGGGCTCAATTCCAGGGTTCTGGAATCATGACCTGAGCCAAAGGCAGAAGCTTAATGACTGAGCCACCCAGGTGCCCCAGATCTTTTCTTTTTTAAAAAAAAGATTTATTTATTTTAGAAAGAGAGCACGCACTGGGGCAGGGGCAGAGGGAGAGGAAGAGAATCCCAATCAGACTCCCCACTGGGCATGGAGCCCGATATAGGGCTCAATCTCATGACCCTGAGTGAAAACCAAGAGTCAGACACTTAACTGGCTGTACCACTCAGGTGTTCCAGATCTTTTCTATTCCTAATGTCCATGATCCTCTTATGTATGCTATTTTCTTTCTCTTTTTTTTTTTTTAAAGAGAAAGAGTCCGCACACAAGCAGGGGGGAGGGGCAGAGGGAGAGAGAGAATCTTAAGCAGGCTCCACACCCAGCACAGTGACCGACAGAGGGCTTGATCTCTTGACCCTGAGATCATGACCTGAGCTGAAACCAAGAGTCCATTGCTTAACCTGCTGAGCCATCCACGTGTCCCTTATATATTCTATTTCTAAATTCAAGGGAAATACACTGAAAAGGATGTCAATGTCATTATTATAATCATTCTTTAATTATGAATTCCCTCCCAAATGCACTTAGAAAAATGCGCATATGTGCAAAACGCATCACAAGTACAATTAAATCCACATAGTGAATAGTTGTAGCTGAATGTTGATGAATTTTAGTTTGATATTTCCAAGTGTTGGAAAACTTTCTTTAAAGGAAATGTTCAACAGCCAAATCAGAAGTATTAAACAGACATAAAAAAGTAACAGAATTTTTTTCCCCCACCCCAGGCCTTTCCCCTGGTTTGATCTGACTGCTGTGCAACTCAAGGAAACACCCTTTGGTCAGCATCTCTCAGCCAGTACTGCTCTCCAGGACCACCTTACCTATCGATACTGTGATTCATTTGGTATCTCCCTACCCCAAGGACAGCAGCCAGGGGTTTCCACAAGGCTCTGACTCTCAATAAGAGAAGAGACCTCGGGAATCAGAATTTTTTTCCCTCCACAATGCTTGTACCCTGATTATCACAATTGACACTGGGAGTCATGTGAGTGTACTGTGTTTGCCACATGTTTGGGCATTAAGGAATTAGAAAATTGTACTAATGTCTTTAACATATAGAATAAAACAAGAGGTCTTTTACATCAGTTTATTTGGGTATGTCTGGCTTCTTGGAAGCAACCAAATGAAACTGTATAACCTGACACACTTAAGTAAGCTCCTTCCTGAGGAAAGCCATGTTAATATAAATTATCTTTCTTCTAAAAGCTAAATTCAAGAAGTTATGTCATTATTAGACAGTACATACTGCAGCTTGTTTTCCTGTAGCAGTGTGTAGCTGACAAATGATACAGCTTGATTTTCCTACCATTTTGGATAAAGAAATAAAATGTGGTAAACACTGTTAATTATGACTCATTTCATGTTTATTTCAGCTATATATGACTGTCCTGGAACTATCTTATTTAAAGCCGTTCCCATTTAAACCATTTTTATTTTTATTTTAAATAGGTAAGAAAGTATTTCTTGACAAAGAAAAAAATAGCTCATCTCAAGTTGTTGGACACTTGGAGAGTCAGGATCCTTTCTTCTGAGGTCTCTTTAGGCAATTTACATAGAAATGCTTCCCAATGGTACCCTAGCTGCCCCTCACCCATTTAAACCATTTTATTTTATTTTATGTTAAGATTTTATTTATTTATTTGACAGAGAGAGAGACAGAGAGAGAGGGAACACAAGCAGGGGGAGTGGGAGAGGGAGAAGCCGGCTTCCCGCTGAGCCGGGAGCCCGATGCAGGGCTCGATCTCAGGACCCTGGGATCATGACCTGAGCCGAAGGCAGACACTTAACGACTGAGCCACCCAGGTGCCCCCATTTAAACCATTTTAAACCATAAAACCATTTTTACAAATAGCTGGCGTTTATATTAAATGGCTAAAAATAATTTTGCAAAATATAGATCTTCTTACACTGCAAAGTTATTTCCTTTATGTTTTGCAAATACTTTATGTCAGTGATATAGAGTAGAAAACAACAGAAGGGAAGTGTGACCATCAGGTTGAGGAGGAGGACACTGACTATGCTCTGTCATTGCACTAAATGTTTGCTAAATGTGAAGTGCTTTTGAACAAAACCATTCACTATACATGTAAACCACCATGGTGTTAGGTTAATCATTTACATTTTTCTTTTTTGCATAATTGTGAGCCAGGCAAACTCAATAGTATGGTTTAGAATGGTCTGAGATGAAATTCATTGGTCCAACTTGGGAAAAAAGTAGGTTCATCATCAGATACTAACGTTTGGTATGAATGCTAATTTGAGGTACTGTTCCTTTTCTCAGAAAAAAAAAAAAAGAATTGGGATTCCTTTGACTATTCATTTGGTGTAGGGAACTGGGCAGGGTACATCATTGTCTTTCTGGATTATGGTAGTCCTTTAGTGGCTCTTAGGGTTAAGAAGTGAGGCTGGGAAGAGAAAGAACAGTTAAGTCTATAAAACTAGAGAGGAACTGGAGTCATTCAAGCAAGAAGTATTTCTTCTTTTGAGCAGTCTACCCAGTCATGGGTAGACTCTAGCCTAAATTTCTTTCTTTCTTCCTTCTTTCCTCCCTCCCTCCCTCCCTTCCTCCCTTCCTTCCCTTGTAAACCCTACCCCCAATGTGGGGCTCAAACTCACAACCCCAAGATCAAGAGCGCATTCTCTACTGACTGAGCCAGCCAGGTACCCCCTGAATTTCATTTTATAAAGGTCTGGAAGGTACCACATAAAAGAGTCATGTAAACAAACCCCAGTCTCTATTCCATAGTCAGTGGCACTTCTATAAGCCACATTGTTTGTAAGGATAAATACAAATTTTTAAAAATACTAAAATTTTTTGGGGGGGGCACCTGGGTGGCTCAGTCATTAAGCGTCTGCCTTCGGCTCAGGTCATGATCCTGGGGTCCTGGGATTGAGCCCCGCATCGGGCTCCCTGCTCATCGGGAAGCCTGCTTCTCCCTCTCCACTTCCCCTGCTTGTGTTCCCTCTCATGCTGTGTCTCTCTCTGTCAAATAAATACATAAAATCTTTAAAAAATAAAATAAAATTTTTTTCTCTGATGTAAAAAGAGAACTCCCCTCTTCCCTTTTCTTAAAACATTTCCTTTAGAAAACATGTAATTTAAATCCTTTTTCTGTTTTTGAAATGTATGTAAATCCTCTAACAAGTTGAAGAAGTCACCTGCCAGTTTTACATCCCAAGACTGTTTGAAATGGGAGCAATGAGGAGGATGGCACCCTATCTCCCTGGCCTAAGTGCCTGGTTCCACATCGTAACTTCCTGTTTATCATAAAGATATGAGAAGTTTCATTTTTCCTTTGGATACAGACAGTTAACATGTAAGTAATGGGTTCTATCTGCCTGGCTATCTAAAAGGGTGGGATTTCCTTGACTTCATAATCTTTAGCAGCTTGCCTGTGATGTCTATCACCGATTTAGTGCTGATTCAATCATACAACTGTTTCTTTTTCTGCATTTGTGGAGAACCTTATTTGGGTTGGCAGGAGATTTTACTTTTAATTCCATTTCCTTAACATGTTCCTACTACCAGATGCATTACTAGAATTTATCAGGAATCCTTACGATTACCCAGAAAGAGAACTATTGCTCTGTTTAAACACGGGGCTAAATTGCAACACAAATGAAGGGAAGATGCTTAGAGGTGGTGATAGAACTAGGAGTGGAGCCAGCAGTTCTAATTTCAATCGTTAATGAAGAAGAGAAGAAGAGAACCCAAAAGAACACACTTCTTTCCCCCAAGTAGTTTAGTTTGATCTTTCAAGGTAAGTGAAACAGCTTTTCTCTATGGTTCAGTGTAATGCAATGCTTCATTCTCTTCAGGGGCGGTTGTTTTTGGAGCATAATCCTGTAATCCTGCTGCTTGCACAAATTCAGAGAAGGTCAAGGAATCAGATTTTACCCCACTATGACCTTTTCGCTCTAAAAATAAGCCAATATTGTCCCTGTAGGGCAGGGCGATGGTGCGACTGAACAATGGCTCTTCAATTCCCAGGAGCACCCGTGTATGCCGAGAAATTGCCTGCAATACAAGGATAATTTTTTTAATGAAAAATTTACTGAAAATATAACTAAATCAAAGTATTTTCCTAGGTCTCTTGAACGCTAGCCTCTTATTTCTATGGGAAAATAAAATAATGAAATAACACATGGAAAGTCTTAGTAGCCAGGTCCTTACCAAAATAAAGTTCTAAAGAAAAACACCAAGTAATTTATTATCTTTTTATAAGTTCCATTTAAAGATGTTTCTAGGCCCTTGCATCAGCTCGCCGCAGATGGGTTCATCTCTTTCCTTGGGCTGAGCAATCTGATCAACCTTATGAGCAGATAACATGTTTAGATTAAGAGCCATGACTATCTCTGGGAAGGTTAATAAATAACTGGTCTACAAGGGGCTCTGTTAACTTGCAATTAAGAAAAAAAAGGTCATTACTCAAATAGTTATTCAATTTGTTTGACTAAAAACAAATCTCAAAGACTAAAAAGCAGATATTAAAGTTCCAGCTGTTTTATTAGTACCTATACTTGTATATTTTTACAATATTCTTTGCCACAGTGTTCAGTGTCTCTAAAACATATTTTGTATTTATTGAGCACCATGCCACTTGATATCCTAGATTAAACTGTCACTGCATTTTCAAATTCTAGCTTTAGTCATAGGTCTGCTATAACACTGCTATCTGAATTCATATTCTGCATCTGGATGAGAATGTAGTCCATGAAATTTCTGCTAGAACGCAGCCAAAAGGGTGAGTGGAGCTTTTTCCTTTTCTTTTCTTTTTTTTAGTTTAGTTTAAAACTACTGGCCATAGTTACAAGGTTGTAAAATGCATTCATGCTACAGTTCTTAACCTGATGCAAAACTGTCCATTAGTAATGCATTTTAGATAGCTAAGATACAGGGCACCTGGGTGGCTCAGTTGGTTAAGCATCCGACTCTTGGTTTTGGCTTGGGTCATGATCTTGTGGTATTGAGATCGAGCCCTGTGTTGGGCTCCATGCTGAGTGTGGAGTCTGCTTAAGATTTAAGATTCTCTCTCTCTCTCCCTCTGCCCCCTCCCTGCTCGTGAGTGTGCGCGTTCTCTAAAAAAACAAAAAAACAAAACTATTTAAAAAAATAGATAGGGGTGCCTGGGTGGCTCAGTTGTTAAGTGTCTGCCTTCAGCTCAGGTCATGATCCCAGGGTCCTGGGATTGAGCCCCGCATCGGGCTCCCTGCTCTGCGGGAAGCCTGCTTCTCCCTCTCCCACTCTCCCTGCTTGTGTTCCCTCTCTCGCTTTGTCTCTCTCTGTCAAATAAATAAATAAAATCTTTAAAAAAAATTAAAAAATTAAAAAATAAACAAGGGATACCTGGGTGGCTCAGCCAGTTAAGCAGCTGACTTCGGCTCAGGTCATGGATTCTAAGGTCCTGGAATCAAGTCCTGCATTGGGCTCCTTGCTCAGCGGGGAGCCTACTTCTCTCTCTGCCTGCCACTCCTCCTGCTTGTGCTCACTCTCTCTTTCTCTCTGATTAAAAAATAAATTTAAAAAATCATAGGTAGACAAGATACCTTTTTCTCAAATCTTACTTGAATTGGTTTTATTTAGAGTCTAGAGATGATTTGTGGGTAAGAGAGTCTACACAGTTGCCTTGTACCCAGTGGGAATACAATTGAGCTTTTAGATCCAAATTACCACCCCTTAAGAATGCTCATTTGTAATTGATGCTGCTACACTGAGCACCTTCTTTGTTCAACAACTCACCCTGAATGCCCCTTACCAAGCAGGTTATTTCATAGATTCACTGAGGTTTACAGATGGGTGTCCCCAGGAGGGACTCTTTAGTCATAAACAAATGTATTCACTATTAACTAAAAGAGCTATGTGCCTACTGTAGGCTGAGAAAGTCCAGTACTGTTTAATATTCTAATGCAGAAATTAAAAGTGTTACAAAACTACTGGTTACATGTGGAATCAGGAAATATAATCTGACCATCTCTTGCAAAGGAGTAAGAGGGTCCTTTGATGGGCTACAAATTAATCTAAAACTGTGAGTTTTTTTCTTAGTTCTGATGAATAACAAGTAACAGATTTTATTTTTGCCTAGGACTTACAGCAACTTACTAGTAACTTAATTGAGTTAGTAAGGATTATTAAATATAGGTATTCATGAAGACTATTAGGATTTCCTAAGGATTCTTTTTTTTTTTTAAGATTTTATTTATTAATTTGACAGAGAGCGAGCGAAAGCAGGAACACAAGCAGGGGGAGTGGGAGAGGGAGAAACAGGCTTCCCGCCGAGCAAGGAGCCCGATATGGGACTCGATCCCAAGACCCTGGGATCATGACCTGAGCCAAAGGCAGACTGAGCCACCCAGGCGCCCTCCTAAGGATTCTTATTCCACATTCTAAGATGGTGGCCCATGCTCAATGCCTGACATCACTGCAGAGCACCTACTTCACATGGTCTCAAGCAGATATTTTAATGCCTACAGTTTTCAAGAGGATTCTATTATTACTATATCATCATTGTATCCTGTGTGTTTTTTTTAAGATTTTTTATTTATTTATTAGAGAGAGAGAGAATGGTAGAGAGAGAGCATGAGAGGGAAGGAGGTCAGAGGGAGAGGCAGACTCCCTGCTGAAGCAGGGAGCCCGATGCAGGACTCGATCCTGGGACTCCAGGATCATGACCTGAGCCGAAGGCAGTTGCTTAACCAACTGAGCCACCCAGGCACCCTGTATCCTGTGTTGATTAAGGTTTTTAAAGGCTGCTATTTTTTTTTTTTTTTTAAGTAGGCTCCACACCCAGTATCGAGCCCAGTATGGGGCTTGAACTCAGGGCCCTGAGATCAAGACCTAAGCTGAGATCAAGAATTGGATGCTTAACTGAGTGAGCCAACCAGGTGCCCCCAAAGGCTGCTATTCTTTTATTTGTAAGCTACTGATGGTTTTGCTTCATCATTACCGATTTAGTTATACTGTTTGGTTACCTTATAGTATGTAACTATGCACATTTGCATAATTGGAAGCTATAATTTAATTAAACCTAAAGATATCTTCTTATGGTTCAAATATGAATCATCTATACCACCATTATTAAAGCAGATGTATAGTCTCCTTAAAATCTGCCTGTCAGTTCATATAGCAATGTGGATTAATCTTAAATGCATTTTGCTAAGGAAAAGAAGCCTGACTCAAAGGCTACATATTACTTGATTCCATTTATGTGACATTCTGGAAAAGGCAAAACTATAGCGACAAGAAACAGATTAGTGGTTGCCAGGGCTTGGGGTGGAGTGATAGGCTGACTACCAAGGGGACACAAGGGGAATTTTAGGGTGACAGAATTGTTCTGTATGGTTCTGTGTGGTGGATACATGATCCTGTGCATCTGCCAAAACCCACAGAACTGTCCACTGCAAAGAGTGACTTTATGCAAATTTTTAAAAAGCTGTCTCAGGAACCCATGATAGAATATAGGCTGTGGACAATGAATCTAATTGTATTACAAAGTAAGACATAATCTCACTGAAGGGGTAGGGAAGAAAGGAGCTGACCTAAATAACTAACTTTGAAAAACAGTGTTCTGTCTAGGTAGTGTAAAGCTGAAGACAAAAAGAACTGTAGACAAACACTATACTCTATTGGTAAATTTGTTTCTCATAGGCATACATATTTATAGATAAGAAGAGCCAGGTTTCTCCTGTCAGAGAAGGAAATTATCAAGAAGCCAAGTGGGGTAAGGAATAGAAAGGATGGGAAGGCTAGAATGAAGCCAGTGCTGGGCTAGAGGCAGAGAGAACAGTACGAACTCATGCTAACAGAAAGAAGAAATCTGTGTATACATGGGATTTGTATATATACATATATTTCCTACATCTTTCTGCTCAGAGTGCCTAGAAGCCATGACACCCCCACAGCAACAAGCACAACTAGTGCCACATCTTGGTTTCTAAGAATCCGATAAAAGCAACCAGGGCTCCTTGGAGATGGTCTGAAGTAACATGTAATGCTCTGGCTGGAGTACTAGCACTAGAAAAAAATAAGGGGAGCATGTCAGGAGGACACAGTGGCCAAACTGAAAGTGTTCCCAAATGGTGGAGAAGGGACAATTAAACACAGGATTCCTTACAAAGGGTTCCAATTAAACATGAAAGAAATGAGGAAAATAGAAAATCCCCATTAGAACACCACAGAAATAACTGCTGCAGGCAAGATCCACTGATGGATGCTAAAATTAGTAGGCCAAATTTTAAGGAGGAACTGGATATTTGCATAGCCTCAAACTATCTTCTCCAATATATTTATTACTGTGATAGTTTTACTATATGTCCATAAACTCTGGTACTCCTCCCTCCGGGAGGTGGATCTTAATTCCCCTCTCTCAGAGTGTGGGCTGGACCTACTAACTCACTTCTAATAAACAGAATCTGGAAAGGGAACATAGTAACTTCATAGTGAAGAAACCTGGCAGACACCATCTTAACCAGGTGATCAAGGTTCACATCTCCAGTAAAAAATCACGTTGATATCATGTACTCCCTGATGAGATGAAAAGGGCTCATCACCTCTGTGATAGTCTCCCCCAAAATGCATATCTTCATGGGAAACATGAGACAAACTAAAATTGAGGGAAATCTTCAAAAAACTTGACTACTGCTTTTCAGTGTTAAGGTCATGAAAGACAAAGATCAGGAAACTGTCACATATTGGAGGAGACCAAGAAAACAATGACAGCTAAAGGCAAAGTAGTATCCCTGATTGGATTCTGGAATAAAAAAAGGACATCAGTTGAAATATTGCAGAAATCTGAATAAAGTCTGTAATTTGCTTAATAGTATTGTACCAATGTTAAATTTTTTTTTTTTAAGGGCAGGAGAGAGGGGTGGAGGGGCAGAGGGAGAGGGAGAGAGAATCTTAATCAGACCATGCCCAGTGCAGAGCCTGAGGTGGTATTCAGTCTTACGACCCTGAGATCAAGACCTGAGCCAAAATGAAGAGTCACACGCTTAACTGACTGAGCCACCCAGGCACCCCAATTTCTTTGTTTTGATAAATGTCACATGGTTACATAAGATGTTAACATTAGGGGATGCTGGGGTAAGAGTATATAGGAACTTTGTACTATCTTTGTAACTCTTCTGTAAAACTAAAATAATTCGAAAATTGAAAGTTGAAAAAAGAAAAATATTTTTGTCTAGTGATAATTTGCTCACATGTTATGAATCTGTGCTATTCAAATAGTTTGTATCAAGGCAAGTGTAGTAAAATTGCTGGGATATAAAGCTTATGAGGCTATATTTTGTAATAGAAAATCATGCATACAAAAGGAATAAGCAGTTCACCTATATTATTCTTCAAATATTTATCACAGAATTCTTTTCTTCACTTGGAGTTAACAGTTAAAAATATTTTAAGAATTATTTTCTAAGAGACAAAGCTGAAGCAGGTATAATGCTATTTTGTCTGGCTTGTCCCTAGAATAAATAAGGTTGACTTCCTCTCCCCTTTCTACCAAGCTAATGCATCTCTACAAATTGGAATAACAGGATAGTAGCTTCAAGAGCTTCCTTGGCCAGGTTCAAAGAATTAGTGTTTCTTTCCTTCTATACTCCCCACCAGTCTCACCCACACAGTTAGCTCTTCTTTTGTCTTCTCAGTATGTTGGAGGAAGGGCAAAGGGAATAGTAAGTTCCCATGCAGGGTAAGCATGGATAATTGCAAAATTAAGGAAGTAAAAGGAAGCTGAAGAGAACAGAAACTGGCCATACATTAACTGCAAAGCTTGTAAATGGGATGTGCAGTCCAAATGTGGTTCAGTTTCTTAGCAGCATGCCCGGAATTCTGAACTCAAGACACCCGCTCTTTCCCCAGTCCTGCCACTCTGCCAAAGCCCATGAATGATGATGCAGGAGAGGTTTTTTTTGTTTTGTTTTGTTTTTTTAAGATTTATTTATTTGATAGAGCAAGTGAGTGAGTAAGTGAGGGGAGGGGCAGAGGGAGAGAATCTTAAAGCAAACTCCCCTCTGAGCACGGAGCCCAATGTGGGGCTTGATCTCACAACCCATGAGATCATGACCCAGGAGATTATGACCTGAGCCGAAACCAAGAGTTGGACACTTGACTGAGGCACCCAGGCATCCCAGATGATGTGGGAGAGTTAACATGAAAAAGAGTACTACACTGTGTAAGTGTTGTTGTGGGATAAATTGTGGATATACTAGTTGCTGTAATTACAATGGTGGGATTAAAAATGCTTATATATCAGTAAGAAAGGTAACTACAGCATACTCAAGTGTTGGGGAATGTGATAAAAAAGATGTGACTGCTGATTGACCCATGAGCTGGACCCAGGCACTCAGAGGTTCTTCACCCCCTCCCCTGTCCTTGGAATGTGGGTTCCACTTGCCTTTCCCATTCCCAGAGGCTGCTTTAAGGACATGGCCTTCAGAGGGTGATATGGTGTTGAAAACACTTGCACAGTATATGTTACTGAACCAGTTAGAGCCTCTTTATAAACTTTTGAAATTTAAAGGCAAGGCGTGGAGATCCATTCATCTCGCTGTCATCCAAGACAAACCTCATATGTAAATTCCCTTTGTTATTATTAAAACTGCCACCTACCAACCTGGAGTGACCTGCCTCTTTCTTCAGTCGCTCCCTGCCCTCTGAGCACAGGGGCCAGTTTCAGATTACACAAGGAAAGCTCCCAAGAGGATTGCGAACCAACATTAAGCTCATGTATGATCTCTAAAAAGTTACCTCTGTCACAGTGTATAATTAGCTTTCTTCTGTGGACCTAAGTGTCAAGCAAACTTTTTTTTTTTTTTTAAAGATTTTTTTATTTTTTAACAGAGAGAGAGAGAGACAGCGAGAGAGGGAATACAAGCAGGGAGCGTGGGAGAGGGAGAAGCAGGCTTCCTGCTGAGCGGGGAGCCCGATGTGGGACTCGATCCCAGGACCCTGGGATCATGCCCTGAGCTGAAGGCAGACGCTTAACGACTGAGCCACCCAGGCGCCCTCAAGTAAACTTTTCTAAGATACCTTTAAATGTCTTGATCTTTATTACTCTAGTGACTTCAAGGAGAGGCCACATTTGTCTGGTGACTTTGATAAGTATTCCCAAGTTTGCTTATTCAAAGTTCTTGGGGTATAAGGATAGACCACTGGATACATCATTTACTCATGAGGATTTCAGAATTTTTTTTACTTTTTATTTATTTATTTTTTTAAAGATTTTATTTATTTGACAGAGAGAGACACAATGAGAGATGGAACAGAAGCAGGGAGAGTGGGAGAGGGAGAAGCAGGCCTCCCGCTGAGCAGGGGGCCCAATGCGGGGCTCGATCTCAGGACCCTGGGATTATGACCTGAGCCAAAGGCAGACGCTTAACGACTGAGCCACCCAGATGCCCCAGATTTTTTTTTTTTTTAAAGATTTTATTTATTTATTTGACAGAGAGTGAGAGAGCACAAGTAGGCAGAACAGCAGGGAAAGGGAGAGGAAGAAGCATGCTCTCCGCTGAGCAGGGAGCCTGACGTGGGGCTCGATCCCAGGACCCTGGGATCATGACCTGAGCTGAAGGCAGCTGCTTAACCGACTAAGCCACCCAGGCGCCCCAGATTTCAGAAGATTTTTAAGACCTCTTATTTCTTGCAAGGCCTGAAAAAGCATAATTACAATTTTTCCTATTGCATTGTTGATATTGTTATTTTTAGAATCAATGTCAAAGAAACAAAATGAATTGGCAGACTCTGAAAAATGCTTTCTCATTAGCAGCTGAAATTGTTGGTACTTAAAACATTTCAGGAATTTGTATTACAGGTTACTATTTTGCTATTTTTATTTAGAAAATCCAAAACACCATAAACATAAGTAGAAATTAGAGCTCAAAAACACAGTCATATCATCTTTGAACATAAAAAGAGTTAAGATATTTTATCTGGTGGTACTTGGTAGCTATGTGAAGGTATGGTTGGAAATACCAATTTGTAATGAGTGGTCCTTTTCCACATTACATATGTAGTGGTTCATGGTTACAAAATTGTTCATTTAGAGAGGCAATATAGTATAGTGGTTTAAATAGAGCATGGAAGTCATACAGAATGGATCTGAATTCTGGCTCTTAAACTTACTCTCTGAATAATCTTGTGTAAGTTGCTTCATCTTTCTGGGCCTCAGTTTTCTCTTCTATAAAATGGGGATTATAAGAAATGATACATGTATGGTGCCCAACACATGGTAAGCACTCAGAAGATGGCTATAGTAGAGTTCAAAAGATTAAAAGTTCACTTAGGACTACGTTTAATAATTTAAAGGATTTCTTTATATCTTGTTGCCAGGAAAAGGACTTAGGTATTAACAAGTATAACTTTATTTTCTAAATCATATGACTTATGGAATTACATGGTTTTAATGCCTGATCAAGAGTCACGTAGGGAACAAATTCCAGGGCCTACCCCAGACCTAATGAATCAAAATCTCTGGAGCATGAATCCTAGGAATTTAAAAAAAAAATCTCATCTGATTCCGAAGACTATTCAAGTTTGAGAACCACTGAGGCAGAGCTTATGTTCAAGAGTGTACTGAATGAACACTGATATGTTGGAGTGGGGGGGTATTAAAGGCAAGGTTATAAATGTGATTATGTGTGTGAAGCTTTGTCAACTATAAAGCACTATAAATGAAGGGTAGTGTTATACAAAGATGCATAATCATAGACTGCTGGTGCTGAAGAGATCTTAGGAAATTGAGGTCCAGTGAGGTTAATGTAACTTGTTGCAAAGTTAGAAGCAAAGCAGCCAAACACATATGGCATTATAAAAGTACCAAATGGGTGTTAGAGACGTACAGTATATGAGAGCTTGCGGGGAGAGGTTATTGGGGTTGGGGAGGTCAGGAAAGATTTCATGGGGAGATGAGAACTGAGCTGGCTCCTGAAGGATGATTAAGGTTCATATTAGTCACACAGGGGGAGGGGGACTGAGCAGAGATGTAGAGGGAGGAATGTACAAGGCAGGAGTTCAAGGGTGTGAGTCAGACCCTGTGAGGTTGAGCAGGAAACTCCTGTAGAGACACAGGGGAGAGAGTGGTGGCTGGAGAAAACTTGTGGAGTGCCTCAAGTCCTAAGCTAAAGAACTGAGACTCTCTTGCAAGCACAGGGGATCCAAAGGTTTCTGACTAGTCTAAATACTTGGAGCGTGAAAGTCTAATAGCTGGGCTGTTGAATCCAAAGGCCTATGGACAGAGACTAAAAGCAGGACGCTACTGGAATATTCTAGGAATGAGGCAAGAGAGGTCTGAACAAGTGAGAATGGAAAAAGCCAGATGCTATACAGGGAACTGACAGTTCCTGGGATCTTTGTGGGGATCAAAGGAGACAGAGGAAGAAACCACTGTGTGGGGGAGGGTGGGGGTGGGGGTGGGACTGCGATTATGGTCACGTCACTGACAGAAACAGGAGGTTGGTCTGAGGCAGCGCTCTACAGGGAAACATGAAACACAACTCACCTTCGTGTCCTCAAAATCAGTTATCCCCATCTGAGGGAGGTTTGAACAGTTTACATGAATGAGCTTTCGACCACAGATGAAGTTTGTGGTAAAACATTCCTGTTAGAACAACAAGAATATCACTCAAATGATTATGGTAAATGGAAGAAAAGAAAGAGAGGGATGGAAGGAAGGAGAAGAAAGGGTTGGGGGAAGAGAAGGGAGGGAGGGAGGGAAAGATAAATCAGGTTTGTTTCTAGTTCTGTATAGGGAAAAAAATTTTAATTGTTTTAAATTAAATTCAAATTTAAAGTAATCCTAATAATCCCACATATTTTCCATCTAAGCTTTCCATTAAATTTCATACTGTTTCTTAATATTTTTTTTTTCTGGCATGATACACCTAGTGCTTCTTTCATGCATCAATTAAATTTTTAAGTAGTACAAAAGATTTCAGACCTTGTGTTTTTTTTGTGGTAGCCTAAGAACATAGTTGGCATCAATGAAATAAGAGGATTCACCCTATCTTTTTTTTCAGTTTCCTGTTTTTAAAATTTTTTATTATATTTTTATTGACATATAGTTGACATTCACTCTATCTTTTTTATTTTATTTTTTAAAACTTTTTAAAAAATTTATTTGACAGAGAGAGAGCGAGCAAGAGTAGGAACACAAGCAGGGGGAGTGGGAGAGGGAGAAGCAGGCTCTCTGCCGAGCAGGGAGCCCAACGTGGGACTCGATCCCAGGGCCCTGGGATCAGGACCTGAGCCAAAGGCAGACGGCCAACGATTGAGCCACCCAGGCGCCCCTCACTCTTGTCTTTTTAATAAAACTACTCTTGGTGAATTGGCTATTTAAATTAATACTGTTAGGTGCTCATGATACACATGACATATTTGGAGCAATTAATTAATAGTACAACTTAAGGCAGCTGCCACTAAAACAACTTGACAAAGTATCAAAAAGTCTACCTTGGTCATAATCTGTTAAAAAAAAAAAGTTTCTTGTGAAAAGAGGCCTATATAAATTTCTTAGTCTTTACTCAAGAATTGCAGAGAAGTATACTCATTGTGATAAATAGGGAAAACAAACAAATGTGACCCTCCCTTCCTCTATCAAAACACAAAATACATCAATGGAAAGGACAAACTTTAAATCCAAGTTACCTCTATCATAGTCCAGGACTTTTCTATGCTCCTGGTAGTGAAGAAGAGGCAAGAGCTCAGGTCAGGGTAAGAGGAATAAGAGATAGAATAACAGAATGTGATTTTTAAAAATGTTACTTTTGTATACCTTGTATTGAGGGAAGCCTAGCTCACTAATCCACTCTGCAACTTTCTCTGGGCTCCACTTAAGATACTCAAATTGTAGCTCAGCACTTCCTTTTGGCTGGGTTTCTTCATCTTTATGTACCTGTTTCAACTCTGGGGACAAAGCTACAACTTTTTCACTAAAAGACTCTCTCAAATCCCTCTGAGAGTCTGAGAGGTAAGGGTATAAATCATCACTGATATCGGTAACCTCAAACAGTCCTTTAAAATCCTTAGAAAACTCATAACTTACACTCACTGAGTCTACTTCACTTATTGTGAGAGACCCGAACATAGACTCTTTTTTAGCTTTCTTGGTTTCTTTTAATGACCACTTTCTCGTTTGATAGTCAGAGTGTTCTAGCTCATCCTTGTCTAGGGAATACTTAAATTTGACTGGTTTTGCCCTATCTTCCTTGAAAAATTCTGTAGATGACACTATTCTTAGTGGTAGTTGGGCTTTATCTGGTAATTCTAGATCTTTCTCTTCAGTTTCCTCTGTTTGTGTCTTCTCTTGGACCTCTGTTTTGGTCTTCTGTGGTGGCATTTGACCTGTTTCCTCAGTTGATCTTCTTGGTTCTTTCTTTGGAAACTTTCGCTCTAGACCTTTCTCCTCTGTTGAGTCTCTTACTGTCTCCTCTGATTTGGACTTCTGTGGTGGTGCCAGTCCTGTCTCCTCGGTTGATTTTCTTTGCTTATCTTTTTGCTCTGAGGGTTGAGTGTCCTCTAGTGCTTCTAAAACTTTCTTCACAGTTGACTCTTTCTGGGTCTCCTCTTCAACTTCTGGTTTGGTCTTTTCTGATGGCTCTAGACCTGTTTCCTCAATTGATTTTCTTGATTTTTCCTCAGGAAATTCTGATTTGGTTTCTTCAAGTGGCTCTGGAACTTTCTCCTCAGTTGACTTTCTTCCTCTCTCTTCACTAGACTTAGTTGGTTTCTGGTCTGGAAACTCTGATTTGGTCTGCTGAGGTGGCTCTGTCTCTTTCTTCTCAGTTGATTTTCTTTGGTCCTCCTCTGGATTCTCTGGTTTAGTCTCTTCTAGTGGTTCTACACCTGCCTCCTCAGTAGACTTACTTTGTTTCTCCTTTGGAAACTCTGGTTTAGTCTGTTCAGGTGGCTCTGTCTCTTTCTCCTCAGTTGCTTTTCTTTGTATCTCCTGTGGAACCTCTGGTTTAGTTTCTTCTGGAGGTTCTAGACCTGCCTCTTCAGTTTCTCTTGGTTTCCCTTCTGGAAACTCTGGTCTGGCCTGCTCAGATGGCTCCCTCCCTTTCTCCTCGGGTGATTTTCTTTGTGCTTCCTTTGGAACGGTCATCTTTGGCGGCTGTAGATCTGCCTCTTCAATTGATTTTCTTAGTTTCTCACTTGGAAATTCAGGTTTGGTCTGCTCCGGAGGTTCTGGACCTGTTTCTTCATATTGCTCTTTCAGTGAATCCTCCAGAACCTCCAGTATGGTCTGTTCTAGCAACTCTAATCTTGTCTCACTGATTGACGCCCCTGAATCTTCAGACTCTGTCTCCTCTGGTAGCTCCGGATCTGTTTCCTTATCTGACTCTATAAGTACATCCTCCGTAACACCTATTTTGGCCTCCTCCGGTGGCTCTAAATCTGGCTCCTCTTTATCATCCATAAGGACCTGCAAATCCTTGAAAAGCTCTCCTCCCATCTCTCTCAATGTCTCTGACTTCGCCTCCTGCGGCATCCCTGGATCAGTCTCTCTAGGAAGGTCTCTCTCAGACTCCTCGGGAATCTCCTCCTTGGACGTGCCGGTTGGTTTTACGTGTAGGTGTACATTCTTTCGCACCCCCACTTCTTCGAGGTCTTTATCCTCCGTCTCTGGCTGGGGTTCCTGGTCAAGCTCTACAGGTAGCTCCGGGCCTACCTCTGCCATGGTGTCAGCTTCGGCATCTTGAGCCACTTTAAGAGACGTTGGTAGGTCGACTACCTCATACTCCAGATCTTCTCCTTCAACTGGGCCGGAATCGTAATACTCTGGGACTTCAGCCATGACGCACGTTAGCCAACGCGCCCAGGCCTCCTAGCAACCCCAACTTCCGATAGCGTCGCTATGGATACCATGAGTTCCGGCCGAGTCTTCCTGAATCTTCCCCAGGTTTTGTTTGTTCTGTCAAACCCTGACTAAAAACCTGCGATCAAAAGCACGCAGTCACCCTCCCCGCGTCCGCGTCGCCAGCCTCCGCTGCCCAAAGCCCCTGCGGCCGCTCGGGGGCTTGGCGCACCGCCTCTTCCGGCCCGTGGGCCCCGCTCGGCTCCTCCCGGCGCGCCGCCGCCGCCGCCGCCGCCGCCGTGCTCGCTCGGCCTTCGGCTGTTTCCGGAGCCACTCGTTGTAGGCTGCCGAGGCGCTAGCGGAGCGGGCTGCAGATGTCGGAGCAGCAGGCGGCTGCGGGGCCGGCGGGCCGCGGCGGGGACGGCCCGGGAGTGGAGGGGAGCCAGGCGGCCGCCTCAGGTACGCAAGCCGGGGGCCAGCGGGTGGGTCCGCCCGGCCTCGGGGCCCCGCTCGTCGCGCGAGGCTCGGCCGCGCCCTGTCCCACTCTGCCCCGCGCCCCTCGGCGGAGCGGACCCACCCGGGCATCCATCCCCTTCGCGCGCAGAGCCTACGCCTTCGCTCCCCCGGGCCATGTCCGGGCCCTCGGCCCCCGCCTCCCCCGCCCGGCCCGGGACTGCGCTCGAGCTTGCTCGCTACTCCAGTTTCGAAATGCCGTGGTTCCTGCCCCGCTTCCTTTCTCCGATCGGCCCAGATGGCAGTGCCCCCTTGCGCCTCTTGAGCCTCAGCTCGCCTGCGGGTCCCTCCTTGGCCGCGAACCCCAGCCCCGCCAGCCTCGCTGTCCCCTGCTCGTGGCTCCGCACCCCGCTGCCCACCTCTGTCCTGGCCCAGCTTTTCCGCGCGCTCTCTGCCCGGGTCCGGCAGGGCATCCTCGCTTGCCGCTGGCCTGAGCCCCGCTTGACCCTGCATACCCCGCCGCCCCAGCACACAGGCCCCCGCGCCTCGCCGCTGCGTCTCGGTCGCTCAGAGTGGGGGAGACAAGAAGCAGAGCGGGAGCCGGGAGGTTCTGGGGTCTTCTGAGTGAGCATCGTGGCCGGAGCAAAGGCAGGACCTAGGGGCTGAAATAGGGACTTTGGCGACCCTCCCTCATTCGTTTCTACCCACGCGAGTTCCTGCGCGGGGGGGGTTACTTCAGCAGCCAGAGGCGAAGGGTGCATCCATCGCACTTTGACCTCTCGGGCCTCCTTGTGCTCACCACACATGGAGATTCAAAGGGTAGGGGGAGAAAACTGGTTTCACTAAGTGGCAAGTAGAAATTAATTTTCCAAGTCTGAAATGAAAATAGACACCATCAGCTATAGTGGTAGAGGTGGTGCGGGGCGCCTGGGTTGGAGTCTCAGTCTTCAGCGTACTGATTAAGTGACCTTGGGCCAGTCACTTCTCCGTCCCAGTCTCCTCATCTGTAAAAATGTGGGTACTGACAGTACCCGCCTAATAAGATTGGGGGGAGAGTTACATGCGTCACTGTCTGAAGTTTCAGTGCCTCTTCCCCCGGGACACACTATAACTGGTGGTGTTATTCATTGTTCTGAGAATAAGATCTGTTTTTGCTCACCTCAACTCTGTGTGCTCTCAGAGGTGTTCCTGGATGTGTGTCTTCCTGCATGGTGGTGATTCTTCTCATCTTTTACTTCTCGCCCAAATATCTCCCATCCTCTAGCGCTGCTTCAGTCACACAACACACACCTTTGAATCACCCAGCTTTCCTCCGTGATTTTATGTTCTCTTACTTTAAAACATATAACAATTTTTGTCCGTTTTTCCTTTATATGAACTTTTATGCTTTGTAGTATATTCAAAATTGATGGCATGTATTTAACATTACAGCAATAGAAATTTTAAGCATAATTCCTAAAAGATTCAGCAGACGAACACTCAAGAGTCTCATAAACATCTGTCCCTTGCATATGTCAATATTTATGAGTGTTGTGTGTTTTTTTTTTTTACTTCCCCTTAAGCTCCTTGTGTGCTTATGGCAAACAAACCCAAACATTTTAAATTTTGACTAAGAATAGTCAAATATATTGGAGGATGGTGGGTTTGTCTCTGAGAGTGAATTCCTCCCCTCCCCCCCTTTTAATTGGGTCCTGCAGTCACTTTTTTCCCCCAGGACATAGATAAAAATACTTCTGGTTACTTTCTTCCTCTTGCCCTTAGGGTGACTGTTGGTTTCTTTTTCTGTCCTGTAGGGGCTTGTTACTGTAGCCCAGAGCACACTCTTCCCCTTGAGGTATGATTTGTTGCTAATAAAATAATAGTAATGATAACTTACATTAATTGAATGCTTCTTTGTGCCAGAGAGTGGATATTTACTTGTGTTATCTGACTTAATCCTGTCAGCAGTCATTTTCTCCCCATTTTATTTTATTTTTGAAGATTTTATTTGAGAGAGCACGAGTGGTTTGGAGGGGGGCGGAGGGAGAAGCAGACTCCCCACTGAGCCCTAGTGAGTCAGAGCTGGACCCCAGGACCCCCGAGATCATAACCTGAGTTGAAGGCAGATCACCCGACTGAGCCACCCAGGTGTCCCTTTTCCCCCATTTTATAGAAGAACAAACTACAGCTGAGAGAGGTTAACTTATCTGCCCAAGTTAGTGTGGTGATTTTACTCTCTGTATGAAACTGTCACCTTGTTCTCATGAAGCTTACAATCATTTGTTTTTATTGGCTATTGATCCAGTATTGGTATTCCAAGGCAGGTTATGGTCTTTGCCCTCAAGATATTTTTAGTGTGGTAAGATGAGAGTACCCCAGGAACAAACATCAGCAACTCAAAACATTATATAATTGAGTATCTGTTATTACAGTTCTTTATGTACTTTCCCCCAAGAAATCTGCTTGAGAGGAGGGACAGAATCTGTCTCCTCTGTTTATCTTCTAGAGCCCTTGATGTTGTGTCCTAGAGGTCCTATAAATATTTGCTGGATTGAGAGACAAAGTCTCAACACAGAGATTTGGAGGAGCACCAAATGCATATGAAGAACTAGGGTGGAGATAATTAAGAATGCTCCTTGGGTTAAAGCAGTGGTTCTCAAGCAGGAGCGATTTTGCCTGGGGATGCTCAGGGGATGGTTTGGTTGTCACGGCTGGGGAGGTGGGGGAGGGCTGTCCGTGATATCTAGTGGGTAGAGGTCAGGGATGTCGCTCAACACCCTGCAATGCACAGGGCAGCCCCCACAACGAAGAATGATCTGGCCCCAAGTGTCAGCAGTGCTGCTGTTGAGAAATGTGGGGTTAGCATGAAGCTGGATTTCCAAAGCAGTGCGGAAATCATGCATCTGGCTTGGCTCAGAGTTTTATAACCTGGGGAATAAACTTAAAAAACTGCTTCAAATTAGGAGTCTGATTGGATTCTTCTGCCACCTTCCTCTAGAAAATGATCCAGTAAGTAAACAATAGAGGCCTGAGATAGAATGAAATTGAAGGAGGTTTCTGCCATTCCTCTCCTAGAGGGAAAACAGCAATAAGAAATGAGTTTGGGGGCGCCTGGGTGGCTCAGTCGTTAAGCGTCTGCCTTCGGCTCAGGTCATGACCTCAGGGTCCTGGGATCGAGCCCCGCATCGGGCTCCCTGCTCGGCGGGAGGCCTGCTTCTCCCTCTCCCACTCCCCTTGCTTCTGTTCCCTCTCTCACTCTCTCTCTCTGTCAAATAAATAAATAAAATCTTTAAAAAAAAAAAAAAAAAGAAGTGAGTTTGGGCATTCTGTTATTGAATTGAAGGTTTTGATTAAAAAAAAGGTTTTGATCTTTCAGTGTATCCTGTTCCTTCAAAGCAGGAATTTATAATTATCCAGAAATCATAACTTGTTTTTTTAAACAATATTCTCCGCAGAGAGTACCTTTTGAGTGTCTTCATGTTTGTTAGCTGAAGTTTTTAGTGATGAAGTAAGGAAACTTCTTTATGTTCTTCTGAACTCAGCTTTACGGTGACCACAGTACTCTTACTGTTTTGTGAACTGTAATTGTTTCTAATAGTCTCTTATTTGGGGCACCTGGGTCCTTCAGGCCCCAAGAGGAGAGAGATGTCACTCTTTATATAGTGAAACTCTCTGAGGCATACATGTTTCATCACTTAAGAACAGACTTTTTTTTTTCTTTTTTAAGTTTAGGGAGCTTTGTGGAAAATAAAGGGCAAAGTCTGTTATGACCTTGAAGTTAGCATTAGAAATTGGTTTGGTGTAAATGACTGTGAGAGCTATCAAGGCACTTAGATGCTAAGGATTGGAAACAAGTCAGGTTAACTTGTCATGATTCTTATGTAGGTCTTAGAGCACCGTGATTAGTCTTTCTGCAGTGATGGAAATGTTGCATGTTGTAGCTATTTCAATTTAAATTAAAACATAATCATTGGTGGCTATCATAGTGGATGGAGCAAAAGCATGGAAATTTATGCCAAAGAGCCCTTATGGTTTTTTGGTTTTCTATTGTAGTTTTATATCAAAATAGTATAAATTTGTCTGCCTGTGGTAATTTTTTTTTTTCTGATAGTGGTTGTGTTTTTGTGGTGTTGAGATAGCCAGTTAGTCCTGTCATCATTCATTCCATGACAGTATAAGGCAAGGTTTGTAATCTGAATGACCACTGAGGAGCTGGTTTCACTCAGAAGGACTGATGAGAAATTGGATCACGTGGTTTCGGGATTTGGTTGGAATATAAACTCAGCCAGTTTCTTTTTGTTTAAGCGTCTTGAGTCTATAACCACATAACCTGCTTTTTGTTCCTCTGCCCTTGAATCTAAAAGGCCAGGCTAATTATCTCTGCAGCCTGTTTAGTGAAGGGGAAGTCCTGTGAGACCTGTTCTGAAGAACTCTGACCTGATATTCAAATGCTTTAGAAAAAACCTGTTTTTTTGTTCTCTTTGTAGAGAAAGTACAAAGTACACAATAAATTTAAATCTGTAGCATGATCAGAACGCTGGTAACATAGAAAGAAAACTAATATTTTAAATATTGTCAAATATAAAATAAATCATTATAGGAAAGTTTCTTTCCTCTTCACCTTGCTTTAGAGGCTATAATCTATAAATTTAGTTATTCTTGAGCTTCCGTTTTCCTTTCTCTGTTCATTGTTTCTAAGACTTTGGCCGTGAAGGTAACACGTCGTGGTTTTTGCCACGTTAGAGAATACATTCCAAAATTATTTGGTTACTATTTTTTCTTTAAAGTGACATTTAAAATTTTGTTTCATTCTAAATGATATCTGTGCTATTACTATTTTGATGTATCAACTTTTCCGAATACATGTTAAAATAAATACATACCCATTAAAATAAAAAAAAACATTTTCCCATATACCATCTAAATTTGCAAAACTAGTCCTGGTTTCTCTAGTCTCTTCTCGGAATACTTGTAGAATTGGTCTATATTTGGCTGACATATTAAAAGCACTCTATAGAAAAATTGGC